CAGATTTTAAGGCCTGTGATGGAAAGACACACCCCAATCAGAATGCATTCTTTATTTCACAGATTTACACTAAAAGGTCTTTATATCTGAATCAAATGTCTATTTCTAGTGTTCAAGCATCTTAAGGATTTTCTCTCCCCCTAGCATTTTTTCAGAGGGAATTTTCTCCTGGGTTCCTGTGAACAAAATTAAAGTAAAGTTGCTTCCAGTCATGAGTTCTGGTTCAGCAAGTTGGTTATAGTTCTTGGTCTCAGTCACTGACTATATGATTCTGTAAGATGGAAATGTCAGGGATTGAATCTGGGACCTTTTGTATACAAAGTAGCTGCTGCTCTACCACTGTCCCACCATCTATCCAGCTGAAGATGTCCACTTAAGTTCCATTAAGGGTTGCACAGAAATCTGCAACCCTGAGAAGCCAAAAAACCAAAATGGTTTCTGCCCCTTTTTAAAGATGTGCAGCCAGATCCTACACAAGATTGCTCATTTCAGAGCTAAATTTCATGCAGTAAATACAACACATCACCTTACACAGGAAGTAAGGTTGCTAACCTCCAGATAGCACCTTGAGATCTCCTGGAAGTACATCTCCAGGCTACACATATCAGTTTGCCCTGGAGGAAATGCCTGCTTTGGAGGGTTGACTCTATGGTATTATATCCCACCGAGGTCCCTCCCTTCTCCCCAACCCCACCCTGGAATCTCCTGGGATTTCCCAACCCAGAGTTAGCAATTCAGACTGGGCTGTAAACTCCATGGGGCTTATTCTTTTTTTTTTTAATTAAAATTTTTTATTGAAGTTGAAGATGTTATACATATGACATAGTAAGCATGAATAACTTCATTTTTGACATTGTAATACAAAGCATGAAGAGTAACAAACAGGGCTCTAGTCGGGGGGGAGCTCTCAGGTACGGAGCTCCGGAAGAGAACCTCTAGGGGGCGGGGCGGTCACGTGGTGAAGCCCCGCCTCCTTCTTTACCCCGCCCTCTGCTTCGATCCTCATTCCGTTTGGGAATGAGGATGAAGCAGGAGGGTAAGTAGCCGGGCCTTCTGACACACTTCCGGTGATGTCAGGGGGTGTGGCCTTCTGTCACTTCCGGTGATGTCAGGGGGCGTGGCATATGCAAATAAGTTATGCTAATGAGTTATGCTAATGAGCTCCGGCAGCTCTTTTTCTACAACAAGACTACGCTTATATACATTAGTGTCTCACTTAATTAACATATTCAGTTTTGAATATTGCGAGATATCAATTTGAGCTGACTGATTTAGCTTGCCTTCTTACGACCTTCAGAACCATTTAATATAATCTTTCCATGGGGGTGGTATGAATTGTTCTTTTTCTAAAAAGTTGAGGATTGGGAACCACTTTGCACTGAATCTTATGTCATGTATTCCTGTTTTAGCAGTGGCACATTTTCCAGTGATACTTTCCATTATGTACTGATCCCAGAGTTTCTGGAACCACGTCTGTGTGGTGGGTGGGTGTGTATTTTTCCAATACGAGGCTATTGAAGTTCTTGATGCATAAAGCATTGTTTTAAGTATACTTTTATGATGATGTTGGTCAATAACATCCGGCCAAAGGTCCAACATCAAATTTTCAGGAGTGTATGATAATTCAATGTCAAGAATTTGCTTTATTTTCTGCAGGACATCATTCTAAAAGGGTTTTATTCTATCGCATTGCCACCAACAATGTGCGAAGGTCCCGGTGACATTGCACCCTTTCCAGCATAATGGTGAGTAATTCGTGGACATCCGTGATAGTAAGTAAGGAGTTAAGTACCATCGCGTGTTAATTTTAAGTCTGTGGAGGTCCAATGAGTAAGATCTGGAATCAGAAATGCTAGCTTTCCAAATCTTTGTCCATTATGTTTGGGGCTTATTCTAATGTACGGTAGGGCTGCAAGCGTGGTCTTAAATGGATAGTGGATGAGCTCGTTACACTGGAAACAGAGGCACTTACTTTGGAGTAATCTTGCTTATATACACTCACTCGGGGGCAGGATCTACTGAATTCAATTGGGACTTACTTTCGGGCAGACTTTGACGGGCATGGACGACATGCAAGGCAGGCCTCACTAGAGAGAAGACATACGGGGTGGTGGGTGGTGGTGGCCTCGCTGCATCCTCCACGACTGGCAGAGAAGCGACCGAGACGGGACGGGGAAACAAAGGGTCTCTCGTGATGCGCAGCGATACCCGTAAAGGCAGATTTAAGAAAGACTTGCCCCCGCCCCAAAGATCCTGGCTCACTCTCAACTCCGGGCTGCCCTCGACCCATAACTCCATCAACCCCATTCTCTTTGTTACGATACATACCTATTACACAGCCACGCTCCTCTCGGACTACACTTCCCATCATGCCTAAAGTGCGGGAAGGAAAGAAGGGGAGGGGAGGAATCTCCCCCAGCCCGCTGCGCGACACGTGCCGCCTTTTCTCGGCCAAGAGTGGGCGTGGCCAAGGTGGGTCACGTGCCTTTGTTTGGCGCTTTTGTATAGCGGGCAGGGCGGTTGGCAGCCGAGTCTGTGTGTAGCGGTGGTGGTGATAGGAGCAGGTGGGTTCCCAGCGTGTGTGAGCGGGAGGAAACTGAACAAGAAGAGCCTATTTAATTCCGCCACCGACGGTTAACGCAGGGTTTGCGTCGGTGTGGAAGAGCGAGCGGGAATGGTGGGCGCGGAGACGAGTGGGTTCCTCGGG